TCTCCGAAAATAAAATATCCCTTCTGTTCAAAAAGAATGATTCTATTATTATTTGTGATTTAAATTTTTTATTTTAAATATTTGAATTATTAACTATTATGACTTCTTATACTTTCTTAGTTTTTAAATATGTAAATTTTATTTTAAAAAGTTTAAAGAATCCATACCGAATTCACATAAAAATTAGTCAATTTTGACTCTTGTATTCCGAAAAGATTCAAACAAGCTGAAATAGATGGAGTATACATTATTTCGAATACACATGTTCTTTCAAAGTTAATTTGTTTTTCGGTTCCTATTTTAGTAACAAATAGAAAATTATATATATCAAGTCATTTAGTTTCAAAAATGACATGATTGAGCTAATAAAATCAAGCCGTGAAGATTCATATGACCGATCCACAACTTGTTTGAGTTGCGACAGTTGTTTTTATTGTTGTATTCAATTTCAAAATGTTTATAGCTTTTGCTACAGTGTCTTTACGACATCTTACTTTTACATTTTTTTTTTATCAACAAAGAAACTAATATATATTATGCAGGCCAACTTGTTCCAAAGAAAATAAATAACAAGAAAAAAAAAACATCCTTAAATACATACGCCAATTTGAGAAGAGTCTCCATCCAATAACTCTGGAATAAGATGTGCTTCCTCCTCTGGTCCACTTTAAATGATTTTTTTTTATTTGTTATGGTCCATAATATTTAATTTTTTCATATATCAAGAAGGAATTAACTTCTTTTTTCCAAAGTTATTATTGGAATAAAGGATCTTGAAATATCTGTATTATATTTCCAATGAACAAACTAAGGTTAATATGGTCAATTTTATTATTAATTAATGTTAAAAGATAAATTTTTTAATATATGTGAAAACAATTACAAAATCAATTAAAGTAGGCCGAAGAGAGTACTTTTTATTAAATAGTCACCTACTAGGTGGGGTTAAAACAAGTGGTTAGCTAGATGTTTGCATAATGTTTAATTTGAAGTTGAAAAAAAAGAATGATTATTTAAAGTTCAAAATCGAAAAAACGTATTTAAATTGAAATTGTATTTGAATATACATTTTACTTTAAAAAGAAGTTAAACATTTGTGAGTGAAAAATACGATCATTTCACTTGAAACATTTCAAATACTGAAGTTCGATATCTGCAGATACTGGCTAATAATCAAATTAATATGTTTGTAAGTAAATACTGAAAGGTTATATGACCAAAAATGACATTTTATTCATCTAAAAAAATCAAGTTATTGGAATGGAATGCATTCTTTTGGGAGTGAATCTAATTCTTTTTAGACACTAGCACTTAGAGAGGATTTGTTGATGAATGACGATAAAACTCGAACTCAATCTTTAGTCAATAGGAGCCTTACGTTTCTCTTTCCAACGTCGTCACTTCAATTTAAGTACAAACTCATTTCCTACTCATCGGGCTGAGGGCACATTTATACTTCAATAGGGCTATCTATTTGACGATGACTTTTTCGTTTAGTAGAGCGATAAAAGGCTATTTCAATCTAGGAAACAACCGAAAACTCGAAAGGATCGACTTGCTCTAATAAAACTAATGGAAGGGGGTGTCAACTGCGCATGTAATGTGTTGCGGAACAATAATAGGATTGTTACACAAATAGCCGGTCAAATTCAATATTTACTTTTTCTAGTCAATGTTTATATATATATATATATATATATATATATATATATATATGAATTTTACATATTTTATATATTTGCTGGCTATTTTTAATTTAAGATATTAAATGGGCGGTTATTTGAAGTAATTCTTCGCCGATAAATGTGGTGCCAATGTGAACAAGAAGAAGGAACAAATGCCAAAGACACACTTTAGGAGCAGGCCGAGTCAAAATGACCGTCTTTAATTTTGTCCTTCCAAGTAGACACATGAAAATGATTTTAACAATTCTATTGTCTTTTTTTGTACTATTAATTTTGTGAATATTGATTAATTAAACACATGAATCATGTGATAAAAAGACATAGAATAAATGCAAATACAAAAGTTGATGCAAATAAATATTAGTATGAACTTTAAGCATAATTCCCCACTTAAGCCACACGCCGTCCAGGTATTTGGTCCGTTAAACAAGAAAAAAAAGGAGGTTTGTATAAAATAAATTTTAAGTTCTATTTAATTATCGTATGAATAAATTTTTTTTCTCGGTCGAGGTAAGTTGTCTAATTAATTAATTCCAACAGGTTATTCGTCCTCTTTTTACGTTACCAACTTATACTTAAGACCCGTTTGGTCACAAATTTTGTCAAAATATATTTGGTTTTTTTTTACAAATACATATTTGTTCATAAATTTTATTCATATTTTGGCAAATTACCAAAACCCAAATCTCAGCTGGTTTTGGCCTAAAATATTACTAAATATATTTTTTAAAAATTGCCCCAAACTTTTGTATTTTTTAAAAGAGCCTACAATTTATTATTTTGTAACAATGTTGATGCGTCTTCTCGGTCATCTGATAGTGTATTATGTTGTTCACTATAAAAATAATAATTTTGTACCAAATTTATTTATGTTCAGGACTATGGTATGTGATAATATAATGAAAGTTATTGAAAAAGGTATTGTTGGGTATTTGTGATAGTTTTTAGAACTTGTGGGGTATAAGTCATGTTTCATGTTTTTTCAAAAAATAAACAATAAAATATGTTTTGAAAACTGATGTGCAAACACATTTTCATTTTCAAACCAAACTTCACCTAAATTAGATTTTTCAAAATAAAATTGGGAATGTATGATCAAACGCTTGCTTAATGTAGACAATTTTCTTTAATTGGTTTTAAAATAATGTAAATATATTTAAATCATTACCAGACTAATGAACATCAAAGATATGGTAAAACGAACATATACACATGTAGAAAACCGTGTCTTAAGACTAATTAGTACAAGTTTTAAATAAATAATCACCGTTTCAAAAATTCTAACACTTCCATATTTTATAACAAGTTTCCAATTAGTCGGAGATTCAAGGTTTATTGCTGATTTATGCTAATGTTGATTAAATATACCGCCATGAGCGCCCACGATCAAGGGTTATGGTCCGGATGGATATATGGTCCCTTCATCCTTAATCAAAATTTTCGAATTCGAGAAAATTGAAAAAATTCTGATAGGGAATTCTTCCCTTTTTAATGGTCTTATGCAGCACAAATCTGAATTAATCGAGCCCCGAAGCAAATATCAACACTAAGTGAAAAAAAATAAAAAAGGATACGTTTCAAACAATTTGCAACTTTGCTGGAGGCTTACGACATACATACAATATGTCCACTACCTTGACTAATTACCACTAAAAATAAAATAACTAAATAAAATAATATGGACATTTTAACTGGAAAAAAATCAAGAAGAATCACAAGGGATTCCATCTCCAGATATATAGTTGACCTTTTAAAACGTAACTGTCGGTGACCTGATCAGATAGATTACTATAATTAAGCAGATATTAGTATATCATAAGTCACTATAATTAGATTGAAGATCTACGTGTATTTAGATTAATGCATTCTTAATTATTTGTTTCAATTAAAAAACAAAATCTATTACAAGGGGAATGAGAGAATGGGAAGGGAGCAATGAGAATCCAATCTATATAAGCATCACTATTGGTAGCTTAAGTGCATTTGGACATAAGAATTGTGAAATTTCGAAAAAGTATTTTTTTTTCCCAAATAAAAACAGTATTTGAAAATTAGAGTTCTATTTGGACATGAATATTATTTGAAGTATTTTTTGAATTTTTGTGCGTTGTTTGAAGTAAAAATATTGAAAAATAGTTTTTTGGAGTTTTTAAAATTTTCGAATTCAACTTCAAGTGAATTTAAAATTTTCATGGCCAAACACTGATTCCGAAAAGAAAAAAAAATCGAAAAAAAGTAAAAGAAATTATGGCCGAACGACCCATAAATATAAATTATCAGCATATCATTTTTGGTAAAAATTTACTTACATGCAGTGTTTACGTCGAATCATATAAATTTATATGGTTATATGATTTAATGAGATTAATTTTATGCTAATTGATTATGGTTAAGTGATAGGGAGTATCTATATACAAATTAACATATATCATATATCTATTCATTTGATGTAAATATTTGGTATAAATAAATTTTTTCCTTTTTTCCCATTTGACATTTTAACGTCAATTTGTTGGCTATTGGTGAAATAGTAATTGTTGGAGCAAGATAAAGATCGTTGGCTATTTTGGTGGCATTTCGTTTCATCTACGATATTTCTTTCTTATACTCTTCAAAAATATATAAATAAAATAGGCCTTTTCTTCAAAAGTCCTTGCAAAATTTTAGCATATATTTTCGTACCAAATTAAATCGATGCAAGTGCAAGAAGAACCACCTAATATTTCTCCTCACTACTCTCGCTAAAATAACAACCCTACCATATATGGCCTTATCTTTAGCTTTAATATAACTAGTAATATTAATACTTGCGCATGCACGTATATTATTAAAAAATATTTCAAAAAATGGTTTTTTAATAAAAGCATAATTGTCGTCTATATGTTCAGTAATAATAAAATTATGTAACTAAAATTAAACGACTTATATATTTAACGAATAACTTTTGGGTGATACTCAAATATCATAATTATAGATTTTTTATAAAGAGCTATTTCTCCGACAAAGTTAAGATTACTAACTTGAAAAACACGATAAATTATTTGCTGTAATATAGTATTAGATAATGTAAAAATTCATTAGTTCCGTCTAAGGTTATAAATTCGAACTATTTATTTCTTTTTGTGGATGCTTAAAAAATAGGTAAATAACCTAATTTTAAAAAATATAAAAACTAAAATACTTTAAAAAGCAAAGACAGAGTGTACCCTACAAATTACAATTCAATCCAATCCAATTTGCCGTCGTAATTCTATGCTGACTAGGCTTCTCATATTCCTTAGAAACCATATATTATAAATACCTCATAATCTCCTTTCTATTTTTCTCATTCTCCTCCTCGTATTCTTGATATTCCTTCTACTCTTATTATCTTTTCAAATATATCCCACCAAGTTAAATTTATTTCCAAATATTCGCTTTTATAAATAACAACATATTCATTCTTCTTCCTTTTGCTTCATTCTAGCTCTTTTTTCTGATATACTCTTTTCATGGTAAGTTTTCTTTTTCTTTTTAATATTCTGTTTTTTTTCTATTTTATTTCATTATTGAGTTTTAATCTCCGTCTTCTGTTTATTTTATAACAGGCTAATGAATATGATGGTGTTAGATATGAAGAGGTAAGCCAAGATTAATATTATTATTTTTTAATAATTGTTATTCCACTTTTTGTAAGATTTTTCTGATTTAAGTTCTAATTTTTTTGGGGTTGTTAATTTACAGGAATATATATTGAATTCTAGAGGAATGAAACTATTTACATGTAGTTGGCTGCCTATAGATTGTGAACCAAAAGCTTTGATTTTTCTCTGCCATGGATATGCTATGGAGTGCAGTATTTCAATGAAAGGTAATTTTTTTAATTCTTTTTTAAATTAATTATGCTAATTATTAATCTGGATTAGTGTAACTAATATTTTGATTATGTGTAATTAAAAAATTAAAAAAATAAAAAAAACAGATACTGGAATTAGATTGGCGAAAGCAGGATTTGGAGTTTATGGAATGGATTATGAAGGCCATGGAAAATCAGCTGGACTTCAAGGCTTTGTTTCCAGTTTTGATGCTGTTGTTGATGATTGCTCTGATCATTATTCAAAAATTTCTGGTATTTATTTCATCTCTTTTTATTTTCCTATGTTTTTTCTAATCTAGTGCATAAAGCATCATGTGTTCATGTGGGGTTCAGGGAAGTGCCGTACCCTTATGAGTATGATGTAGACCGCCTACCCTAATACAAGTATTAGTGACAGTTTCCACGGCTCTAACTTGTAACCTATAGATCACACAGAAGCAACTTTAACGTTGCTCCAACACTCCCATTCTTTATGAAAAGAATATAAATTTCATTAAAAAAATAGCCTCGGAATTTTGATCTAGTGATAAGAAAGCAGTTGTTAATGTGTGAGGTTAGTGTATGTTGCATGGTCTAATCCTGCCGTAGGTAAAGTCTAATATTTAAGTGAAAAAAGATAGAGAAACGAAATTTGAGTTGAGCTAAAAGTTAAAACCCCATTCAATGAATCATTCTAAGGGACATGTGTTAATTTGTTTCCTATTTTCTTGGGATTTTTCTGATTAATTTGTGGGGTTTGACTTATTCTTATTTTATTGGTGATAAATGCAGAAAGGAAGGAAAATAAGAAGAAGATGAGAATATTGATGGGAGAATCAATGGGAGGAGCTGTGGCTCTACTTTTACATAGAAAGAAATCTGACTTTTGGGATGGTGCTGTTTTAATTGCTCCAATGTGTAAGGTACGTGTCCAAAATTAAACCCATCAAATTTCACTTCTTTTTCTTATCTAAGCCGAATCTCTCTACTTTTAATCAGAGATAATCCAAAGTTATAGGGTTAAACCCAATTAGAGATAACCTCTGCGTACACAATCTTTCCGGATTCCACGTAAGAGAGGGAGAAAATATATTGAGTATGTTGTTGTTATTGTTGTTTGAGGGACAGTAATTTTATATAGTCAGACCTTTCTATAATATTATTCTTATATAACATACATTCACTATAAAAGCCAAGTTTTTTTCGGAACCGATTTTTATAGTATGTTATAATATATATTTTCTATAACAACACTTTATAATAGGAGCCAAAAAATATCGAACAAATAAGACTATTTTAAAGAGGTTTGACTGTATTTTAATTAATTATACCAAAAAGAAAAAGAAATTGTCCCTGCAAAGAAGTGGAGAAGGGGGTATTCCATTTTTATTCCAACTTGTATTTTTTATTTAATAAAAGAAATATTTTTAATTTGGTGGGGTTGTGTTTGACCAAATTTGTAACTTGATAGAACGTGCGAGCAGGCTTGGCTGACTGGAAAGCAAATTGTCTTACTGCTTTGGCACATTTGATTAATATTTAATTTAATGATTAAAAGTCCTTTCTATTTGGTCCCTAGCTAAGAAATGGTCATAATTACATCGAAAAAGTGGTTTATTACTTTCTTTTTTTTCCTTTGTTTTTGTTGGTGGTGTCCTTTGCATTATGTTTATTTTTTACGTAATATCTTAAGGTGTCGTTTGGTTGGAAATAAATTATCTCGGGATTATTTATCCTGGGAAGTTATCTCACCCTATCACAGGGATAAAAAACACTACAATCCCGGGATTAATTACTCCTTATACCTCGTATCAAACGAGCCCTAAATGAAACAACATGAAAACTTGGGTTTTATGGAGCCAACTCCAACTTAATTGAGGTTGAAGTATAATAGTTGTTGTTGTTGTTGTTATTGGTGCTTTTTGCTTCGATTTTTCTCATTTATTCGGGGAGGAGAGGGGTTCAGTTGAATCCTCTTCGTCGGAAAATTATACTGTGTATATAGGTTAAAAAATCCTTATGCATATAACAACTCTTTGTATAAAATTTTCTTTCGATGTACTGTTTTCTCAATCATCTAATTAGAATTTTCGGGTTTCGCCATTGAGATAGAGTTATTATTAATATACGGAAAAGAAGATAAAAACTAAGAATATTTGGCTAGAAATTGAACCATGCACGTGGATGATGTTGCAGCCATTAGACGGTTTTATTAGGAGTAAATATGACAAATCTGGCTTTAATGTGACACTTTACTGACTATGAAAACAACTTGATATACTAATTTCACTATGGAAACAACTTGATATACATAATTGTCAAATTAGTACCTAAATTTCAATTATATGATGGATTTGTTGGGAGTAATATGTCTATTCTGGTTTTTAATATGACTGTTTACTAACTCTATGAAAACGAAATTGGATTTGCATAATCAACAAACTAGTACTGCAATCTCAATTTCTTATGATTAATTAATATTCTGGCTTTAAATTTGACACTTTAATAAATCTATGAAAACAAGCTTGATAATGTCCACAATTATCGAATTAGTTTAGTTAGGTTTTGTTGTAGAGCCCCCTTTGCGTCTCTATAATTGGGGTATATTATCACTTTTACCCCGCCAGAAACTATTTACATTTGGTAACCAAATAAATGTATAAAATTTGTATATAATATACAAAATGATATACATACAAAAGCTATACTTGTTTTGGCTATTCTTTTGAGTGTGGCTATACAATATCATTTTTCCTCCGTAATTGCCTCTGGAAAATAGCATCATGCAATTTAAGTGATCTTTTTCTCTCAGATATCAAATTATTATCCAACATAAACAAACAATTGTGAATTTTCTTTTAAAAGTTCCAGAAAAGCAAAAATATTTTAGGGAAACTTTGTTAAAAACATGATACTAGAGCCTTTTTTCTTGATTTTTTTTAAATAATAGTGGTGTCCAAGAAAGTTTGCCGTGCAAATCGACTATTTCACCTAGTATGTATGTACTACCTTCCATTAAAATAAATACTGGATAATTCTGCTCACTAAAATTTAGACAGATGAAAAGAAATCACCTAGTGTTCGATACTAGCAAGTTTTTCATGTAAATTAATGTGTTAATTATTGTCCACTTTTATTATTATTTTTGTTCCTTTGAATTTTTTGTGTGTTGTGTTTATTGATCTTTCAATTTTTCAAGCAGATTGCGGATGATATGAGGCCATCTCCAATAGTGATAAGTATTTTGACCAAACTTTGCAACATTATCCCAACCTGGAAACTAATTCCTACTCAAGATGTTGTTGATTCTGCCTTCAGAGACCCTCAAGTTAGAAAAGAGGTATAAACTTTATTCTTCCTCCCCCCCCCCCCCCCCCCAAACCCCCTTTTCATAACTGATAAACCTGAGGACTAGTGGCACACAGTTCGAAACTCAATGAATAATGAACTCCCTCTTAAATACCAGGGGGTTTTTTCAGCTGGATTAGAACCCCTGATGTGTGCTGACAGCCTGACACATCATGTGTTAGCATTCTTACCAATAGACCAAAGCCCTCAGAACTATGTTTCTCGGATCCTCCAACAATATCGTGGCATCATGTCGGATCCTCTAAATCTGAATAACTTTTGGAGGATCTAACACACCCGATGACATTTTTGAAAGATCTAAGTAGCATAGCCTGGTGGGGGTGGGGGGGGGTGGGGGGCTTTAATTTCTTCCCTTTTCCTTACATTAACTAAAAAAGGCAGCCCCGCTAAGTTCCTGCTATGCGCGGGATCCGAGAAAGCGCTGGATCAAAATGGTCTATTCTGCGCAGCCTTACCCTATATTTGTACAAGAGGTTGTTTTCACGGCTCGAACCCGTGACCTCCTGGTCAAATGGCAACAACTTTACCAGTCACGCCAAGGCTCCCCTTCTCCTTATATTAACTAATCGATCTTTTTTTTTACATACAAAAGCTCTCTCTTTTTATGTTTGCCTTAACTATGGATTGATAAAATGCAGATCAGAAATAATCCATATTGCTACAAGGGACGACCTCGCCTACAAACCGGGTACCAACTATTTACTGTTAGCATGGATTTGGAGCAAAGACTTGAGGAAGTTACATTGCCATTTCTAATTGTACATGGAGGAGAGGACACAGTTACTGATCCATCTGTGAGCAAACTTCTATACGAAAAGGCCTCGAGCATCGACAAGAGCTTCAAGTTGTACCCTGGAATGTGGCATTCACTTTCCTATGGTGAATTTCCTGAGAACAGAAACATCGTGTTTTCGGACATTATCAGTTGGCTCAATGAGAAAATCAGTATGGGCAATTCAAGGCTGGAGAGACAACAAAAACATGCAAATGACAATTTACCAAAGATCAGTAGTTAGGCTTATTCCTATGTTGCTGATGGCTGTGGTATTTGATACCTGTAAAACAAGAAAAAGATAAGAGAAGCACAATTCTTTATAAAGAGTGCTGAATTGCAAACTTCACAAATTGTGATCTGTCAAGTGGTTAATGAGGGAGAGGCTCGAATCTTTGATGCTAGAAGTTGTGTATGGTTTCTTCATTTCTGTATAATATGATAGCAACAGTGTAAGTGGCGGAACCAACAATTTTTTACTAAGAGAATTCAAAATATAAACAAGTAAATACAGGAAGAAGTCATGGGGATTTAACATATAATTTATATATACATAAAAAAAAGGTTTTACCTATCTCCGCCACTGAACAAAGTACGCTCAATTTTTAAAAAGGAATGTCTCAAACATAATTTGTCATTGAGGAAGAAACAATGCAAAACATAATTTGTCATTGAGGAAGAAACAATGCAAGATCTTGAAACAGTATGCCAGTAATTAGATAAACTGAAATAAAGGTCAATTGACTTCGTTTAATATATGGCTGCATATGATTAATTAAACAAAAAATATTAGGCAAAGTGAACAAAATGAGACGTAAAACTTGCGCGGCTTATTTGGACGCTGCTATTTAACCTATACAGAGTAGTGCATATTATTCCTAAGAGAGACGAAAGGAGCAATAATGTAATTTAGCAACCCCTGGAAAATAATTGGCAGGTGATAAAATATGATTTAGAATTCTTATGCTAGCTGTGAATATGGTGACTCATTCGATTATCATATTAACTTCTAAAATAGTCTTAAGCTGCAAGCAAAACATTGATATCAATCTCTGTATCGTGACTACATTTCTCATAAACAAACTGGAAATACACAATTCAGTTAACGGTAGTTTGCTACAAAATCAGTTGAAATGACGGGGGGTTACGCTACAGCATAATTACAACAGAGAAACTGAGCAATAATTCACTCCGCATCTTTTTCTTCAAATCGCTCCACATCTTTTCTTCAAATGCTTCTATAGTGAGCACAGCTTGGAGTACATGCTGGTCTCTTTTCTTGCATCCACAAAGCTCAAATCAAATGAAGCATCCATAGCTCTCTGCAGCATGCTCCCTCTTATGCCGCCACATGACTGTTCCCTTGGATTGATTAAGACTAAAACCATCACCTTGTCATAAAAAATATATATCTTGAGTGGTTTGAGATTTACCAAAAAGAAATAAACACAACAGTCTGCTATCACATAGAGCTACAAGGTCTTTGTGCCCCCGGACAAAATGGCACCTTGATGTACCAAAGAGGGAAACAAGACACTGTTTTCTATCACATAAAAGTGCTTGAATTTGAGTATCTCTTAACAAATGGCATATTGATGTACTGCTAGAGCACAACAAGGATTGCTAACACAACTGAATTTATTGATGACAAAAGGCAAACTTGATTCCATTTCCAAGCCACAAATAATATGAAGAAAGCTTCTATACTAACACTCTCCTTTTTTTCTTAGACCAGCTTCTGCACCTCGACCAATCTACCGGACAGCTTGTTTAACCAACAAATACAGGTTGCGAAGAAAGTCGTGCCTACCAAGGTCGGAGCAGTTGAGCTCACACCAAGTGTTATAATTGAGTTTGGAACCTCGAAAACCAAATCCTCTTCAAGCTTATGTTTCCTTTAGTAGTCAATTGACAATATCAACTATGACTAACCCTTGAAGATGTGCCCTAACGGTTGAATAGTTGGACAACAACTTGGGAGACAAGGTCCAAATTCTAGTACAAAGTGAATTCTTCTCATCAGTCTTAAGTCTTGTTCGGAAAAGTTACTTAACACCTATGCTGATAGAAGGTAACAAGTACATGATGGATTAGACGAGGTAAGTGCAAACTTACCTGGACACAACGGTTATCCAGAAAAAAACATCAAGTATGACTAACATGCAAAAGCTATATGTGAAGACAAGGGAGTCTACCTTCATCTAAACATGTTCTCAAATAATTTTGTTTCTTATTTCTTCAAGCTTTTTCAAAATCTCGCCTGGTGTTCTGTCCAACTCATCTGCAATTTTGCGCTGCATATCCATTGGCAAGGTTGGGAACTGTTCGCACAAGTCTCCATCTATCACATCCTGCAAAACAGTTCCAATAGATCACCATTATCATCAACATTAGATAAGGATTGAATAATCAAGGTGATTTAAATATATGAAATAATAAGAGCACACACACTTAATAGTATCATGTAATCTAGTTAATATCAGACCTGAAATTTGTAACAGTTTCAGCTAAAAGTGCATAATTCAACACTCGAAAATGCAACCTACGCATAAAATCAACTTGGTAGACATAGAAACAGCCTGTGGCAACTTAGAGTTGCCTTTTATTCAAGCATGCAGAGCACTTCAAAATAGTGAAATCAAGAAAACATAAACATTCACAAGGCACACTAAATTGCTCGTTGTCAAACGATATAGCCAATGGAGGACACAGCTACTTATAATCCATGGTAGCACAAGCCCATTTGCTGTTCTAGAACTGCTCAATGATTTGATTATCCAGCCATTTTATCTGTTAAACATTTTAATTGGGACCTAGGGCAGAACAGGTTAAGCTTACTACCAACAAAGTCTTGTAAAGTAGCTAATGACAAATTCCCAGTTTCACTTTGGCATTAATTTAGCTTCGCAAGGAAGTTTATTTACATTCATTTGCTACATTAGCGCATCTCTGCTACCAATCAGGATGTCAAACTAAGTAGGTAAATACCACTTTCCGCATTGGAACATTAAGGAAATAGCTGATTGAGCAGTACAAGCTAACCTTAACCGGGAAGTAGGCAGATCTGTAGGCCATGTGATCCCTGCCACATAAAGGTGGGAACTCCTGCCTCAAATGCATCTCCAAATGAGAGAAGAAGTCAACATCATCCCTCGAGGTAAATGGAAGCATTGCCCCGACGCTCCCCATCACAGTCCCGTAAATTACACATTCACCCCCTCCTGGAATAAGTGATGCTCTTTGCAAGCAAGAGACCACATCACCAACATGAAACTGCACTATTTCCTCAACCTTGTTTGGGGCTCCATTCAGCTTCCCCTGCTCCCATTTTATTTTTCCACCAGTAGGGTCTTCTTCAATCTCATCTGAGACATCCTGAGGTAATCGCACAAAGTAGATATTCCCAAACTTGTCAGCTCCTGCCACTGTGTCAAAATCTACATGCTGTGCTGCGGTTAGCCATCTCGGAACCGTGTCATCAGCAAATATGTACAGTTGATTTTCATCACGTCTATACTTACAGTAGTGGAATGACTGCAAGAAGAGAACAACTTGAGCAGATCAGTAGAAACCAACACTTCATAAAATATGACATCAAAGAAGACTATTTTGTAAGAATCCGAATAAATATTCCTGTCGGAAAATATCTAACTTAACCATCAGTCTACATTCTATGGATTCAAACGGCCAATACAGTCACTCTGTAGTAAATTAGTATAATCAGAAGAAAGTATCTAGGCAATTATGGACGTAATTATCATGTTGGATAACAACATATAATCATGCAACCGAGATTCATTGTGCTACTTCGGGACGGGGGAAATAAAAAACCTTCAAATAGTTATTTTATATGGCAACTTTAATTTATAATAAAAAAACTTCAGTGACAGCAAAAGAATATTAGTTTCAGGCTATCAAAATCTATGAGCTTAATTAGTTTTATGAGGTTATAACAATTTAATGCACAGAATGTTCTAAAAACAATATACCATTTCATACTTCGCAACATTTCCTCCAACCATTTCTATTGCCTTCGACTGATACTCAAGCAAAAAACTTTCACAGGCAAAATATCACAATAGCTCATTTCTCGATGGCTAGTCACTAGAGTTTTTTATTCCAAACCCCCAGTCATTAGATTCAAATTATGTCTTTAGACTAGAATGCAGAACAAACCTACTCTATCACAAATTTACATCGAACAAATATTATCCAAAGAGAATGTATTACTTCAATACTTTTATGTTTAACACAGAATATTTTATAATTATCATACCTCTTGCATGTCACCCACATAAATCCGATCACGATAGGTATGGATAGATGTGATTGAGTTGGGGAAAAGCTTGTTCTCACATTTTCTGAGCAGTCTTTTCTTCCCCAAATCATACAACCTAAGGACAGACCCCACACCAGCTAGTAGTCTTCCTTGGAACTGACATAATGCAAGAGGCACACCATCTACCTGTGTCTTGTGCAAAAGCTCAAGGACCTTCCCATCTTCTTTAAATTTGTATATATGAATGTATGCTGCTTCAAACGATTTTTTGGGCCAAAACTGAAGGCCCTTGGCAGTACCAACAGCTAACAGAGCTCCATGCTCCTTGTCATGGAAATTAACAGTGCATATGCTAAACGCAGCCTCATTATCCTGAAGCTCTAGCAGACAAGTGGTTTGTGTTGACCTTGGGTCAAGGACTCTGATGCAGGAAACCCACCTTCCTGACTCCGACTTGGGATAACCATATTGTTCATCAGATAGTGGATCATTACCATCCTCATCTTCACCATTCTCCACTTGTTCTGCATTTCCATTTTCACCATTCCCAGCTGTCTCGAAGCACTCCTTTTTAGCAGCTTCACGCTCTTCCGCAGTATATGCTCCCTGGTCACTCTCTATCATTATCACCATCTTCCGTTTAGGTTGAAGAACAAACCTTCTTGGTGTATACCTTAAAGGTATAGCTGTTTCGTTGAAAGTCTCACCCAATCTCTCTATCGTGAAGACCCTCAACGCATCCCCAGCAACCGCTACTACACCTTCTGCACATTGATCCGATGAAAATGAGGCTGCAAATTCAAGAGTCTCATATGATAAAGGCGTCAAAAGAAAATGCCCTTGGTGTATATAACCTAGCCACGGTCTACTTGACAAGCAAAGCATAGCACGCCGTCCTCTCACAACAATGGAAAAGAGCTTAGGGGCTCTAAGACCCAAGAAACGTGAACGTGCATCTGAAAGCTGCCCAGTTATCATATCCACCACAGTCCTGAATAAAACCCCATTTTGTAAACCAGCATTAAGAAAAAGACTGGCAGGGTGATCTGCACCATCTTCTCCACCAATAGAGGCCTGAACTTCAAGAAAAAGGAGAGACTCTGGCGGTGAAGATACACTTTGCAGGCTCAGAACCTGCATACAGTCATCAGGATCCAATGATAAGATACGAATAGTGTTATCATATGATCCAACTGCAAGGAAACGGGACCTTTGTCTTCCCTCAGGAACAGGGGCAATGTCCAGACAAGCTACATCACCTGACATCTCATGCTTCTCAACTTCCATCAGCTGGCCAGTCATATCCACTTCAAAATATATAAGCTCCCCTCCACTTAGTGCAATTACCACTTGAAGCCTATTAGATCCAACCTTGACAATAGTTCTCTTTCCAGGAGTTCTCCATTCATTAATACGGCCATCTTCCCTAATATGCCTTATTCCACTGGGATGAACTTGCATCAATGAATCATCACCAATCAATGAAACAGCAAGAGATGGAGTAGTATCAAGAAACCCACTGTCGCTAACTTCTTCAACTGTCTCACCAATAGAAAGCACGAGAGTTGCATTCGCAAAAGAGACAACAATGTACGCATCAAACTCATCATTGACATTCTTTTTCACAGTCCAGACAGCACTAGGAACACCAGGAAGCTGTGACACAGCCATTTCACTAACAGCTAAACCTGGCCTAAGTATGCGCAATGAAGACCGGGGACCCCTCCCACAAAGTGAAAATATTTGTGGAGTTTCTTCCTCAAAAAGATTTACTATTTTCATGTCCATGATTGGCATCAAACTCTCAATCTGATCGATCCTAACAAGATTTTTTAGCTTTCTTGGCTGGAAAAATACAGGCTGAAAACCTTCTTCAGTTTCCATTAACGTCGATGATGAAGCTTCGACGTCAGGATCATCTCCTATCGCTTGAAACTGATACAATGCATGATTCCCAAACTCTGACGCAGCAAAGAGGAACCCTGACTTCAAGACACACAGCGAAGAACTGACTGGAATTGTATCAAAATACTTGATCTTTAACTCCTTAACCCTGTCGTTGTCGTGATCCAATGTCACCTTAAAGATATCTCCATATTCAGTTTGCAAAAGAAAGAAAAACATTGACTTCTGCTTATGCATAGCAGCTGAAACAATCAAAACCCCACGTTCCGCTGGCAAATCCACCCTCCTGGGAATAACAGCCCTAACATCAGGGTGTCCCTGATTCTTATATATCACGAAATTCTCTGCGCAAACAAGCACACCACTCGGACCATCCCCACCACCAGGTACGGTCACGAGCAAATTAGCACCATTATCAACCTGTTCACTCCACTTCCTCGACACGTGATTAAGCCCTAAATCTAATTCATAAAATGTCAAATGCTTCTGAGCCTCATTTGCGGCCTGGCCAGTAGGATCCTGATCCGCCTCTGCGTAATCCAACTCGATCGCAGCAAATATCGGGTTATCAAATCCACAATCAACACCACAAATCGAGAACGTAATCGTGTGGCTCTTATGAGCTTCTAAAGGCGACGAAATAGTTAACCTAGCAGCAGTATCCCTATTCAAAACATATACAAGCTTCTGTTTCTCACAAGCACCAATCATAACAGCCCTACCTTTCGGGTCAATACCCAAATACTGACCCGGAACTATCCGTCTACAACCCGATTTCCCAAAAGTCTCCTGATGAATTTTATCAAAAACATTCTTCTCTTTATTATACTCTAATATCACTATCCGACCCGAATCAGACCCGACTACAATATAATCTTTTTGTGCACCGGTTAATCGAAATTGAGCTAAGGACCGTATAGCGCCGAAGATTTCGACGGATAATAAAGTTTGGAGCTTACCGTTGTCGTCGGGGCGGAGGAGGTCGAGGACTTTTCCCCGGGCGACGGCGATTTCTTGTACTTTGCCGCCGGAAAAGCTGCCGTTGATGGCGCAGAGTATGCCGGTGGGTTTTTGGAGAGTGAGACTGTAGAGATACATTTTGGGAGTAGCAGTTGGTGTACTGCTAAAACCCTAGTTTAAAGTCAGAGTAGAAGTGAAGTGGAGTGAGTTTTAGGGTTTTGAGAGGAAGAAGAAAGGAGAAGTTAGATTCAGAAATGAAATTTGGGTTTAAAGTTTAAACCCTAGACGAGAGTATAGTGAAAGATGGAGCTCCGGTTTATTTTTGAACCGGTCGGTCCTCTAGAGGCGGTTCGTGCGAGAAGGAAAAAGAAATGATTTTCACTGTTTAATTAATTTATTTTTTTGTTATTTCTCATTTTCCTTTTTGCTGTTCATAATCACCTTTTGCTCCTTTCTTTTTTTCTCCCCATAGTTTAATTCTTTTCTTTTTAAAAAAATACATTTTTTTGCCTTCCTAAGGTCCATTACAACATTTTATGCTAAAGCATTTTAATTTTTTATTATTATTGTTAGTAGGAATGGGAGGGGAATATTACATAGGTGAATTTGATCCCTCACCATATGATAGAAGCATGAGGGGCTCACACTATGTTAATTACCCTTCAATCCTGTCGTCGATTCAAATCTTAGTTGTCAGTCTTGTGGCAAAAGATCATAATTTAAATAATAGTATCACAAGTTTAAATGATTATTTACCGTTGATCATCAAGTCAAACAAACAAGGTAACAAAAATGTTTGATGAATTGATTGACACAATGACATATATTTTTATTTAGACTTCTCTACTACCTGCCTCCTTAGGCTTCTTTGAAGTGTGTGATCTTTCACCAAGGGGTTGCCAAATGAAGAAGAGAAGTCAAGATTTGAAACTCGTGGATTTTGACTTTATTATCGAATTCTTCATCGAATTTGTAGCTCATCTTAATTACTGTATTTTTATACAAATTTTAAAAAAATTATAATATAAAATAGGATTTAGGCAAAAACTATTAGATTCGTCCAAATCCGTAGCTCAAACTCTAACTTGCCCTAGTCAAATGCAACAGTTGTTGAATTTCAACAATGCAATTTTTTTTTATATTAGTATTATTTTAATGAGCTATTATTGCATACAAATAGTTGTCTAATATTCTCTGTTTCTTTTTCTTTTGCACATCGTCAGGCCAGTTGACATTAACAAAGTATAAGATTGTGTGGATTTGTAAAGTGCAAAAGTAAAACCACTACATTAAGCGATTAACCACTCCAACTCTCCAACTCATACCAAAATAATACTGGACTTTTTCCCATTTTTAACCTTTTTTTTAAATCCCATTTTTAACTTAGTTCTCAAGGAAACTACAATATAGAAAGAAAAAAATAATAGCTATGCAATCTCTGGAATTGCTAGAGCGAGAAAGTTTATTCACATCCGATATTTACATTCAACTAATGATTATATAAAAAAGGCAGCCTGATGTACTAAGCTCTCGCTATGCGTGGGATCCGAAAAAGGGCCGGACCACAAGAGTCTATTGTACGCAGTCTTACCCTGTATTTCTGCAAGAGCATGTTTCCACAGTTTGAACCCGTGACCTGCTGGTCACATGACAACAACTTTACTAATTACGCCAAGGCTCCCCTCAAACTAATGATTATATGCTTAATCATAATAAACTAATATGGTTTGATATAAGCACCTGCTGTAAACAATTTTTTTCCAGACTTCTTCACTAGCATTATGATAATGTACTATTACTGCCCAAATGATCAACTAAAACACATTATAGAGTAGGTTCAACAAAACTAATGCCTTAAACTTTTTCTATGGATTTTGTTATTGCAATTAAACATTTTACCTAAACCATTTCATCAGCTCCACTTAATAGGAAGCTTGTAACCAAACTATTTATACTCAGTTAGCCTACACTCATTCATCGTCAACAAGCATCTGTTCAATTCTTCATTTGCCGCTTCTCATCATTCATCATATAGCATCATTCACAAGCAAAAAATGGTCAAATTTTCCCAACTCTGCTCTAAAACATTCCAATTCACCTTTTGCATTTTGCTATTAACCCTCTCGTTTGGCATTGCTACTTCAGCGAGAATCCTCGATGAAGTGAGCTCAGATGAACCTGTTGTGGCTCCTGTGGTGGCCCCGACCACCACATTGCCAAGTGGCCACTTCCCTGCCGCAGTCACCGCTCCTGATTCGAATCCGGAACCTATAGAGGATGATGATTCTTCTATTCCTGCAAACACTGTGGCTCCTTCACCTGATTTTCCAACCGAACCCGAGCCTGATACAGCTCCGGTTGTTTCCCCTGCTGCTCCAGAGGCTCCTGTTGCTGACGCAACAACAAACACTGGAGCAGCACCTCCTGTTACCAATGTGGCACCAGAAGTTGCTGCTACCTCTGATGCCACAGTGGCAAATCCTATTCCAGGCGGCCACTCAACGTTCTCCTTTTTCATGCATGACATACTTGGCGGTACACACCCGTCAGGAAGAGTGGTCACTGGAATTGTAGCCAACACGGATGCCAACAATTTACCTTTCTCAAAAGCAAACAACCAAGTCTTCCCAATCGACGGTGGTGTTCCCCTCAACAACATCAACAACATCGTCAACAACAACAATTATCCTTTCCTAGTAGGTCTCAACGGACAACAACAATCCAACACTGTCCTACAAAACACAGGCAACAACAACATTGTCGACAGCGGGGACAACCAACCTTTTGTCACAGCCGGGCAACTCCCTACTGGCCTATCCCTTCAACAACTCATGTTCGGATCAATTACTGTGGTAGACAATGAAATAACTGAGGGACATGAACTGGGATCAGCTATTCTTGGTAGAACACAAGGATTTTACTTGACGAGTTCTTCGGATGGGACGAGTCATACTTTAGCTTTAACAACATTGTTCCATGGACAACATGAACATGAAGTGGAAGATACCATTAGTTTCTTTGGAATTCACAGGACCGCGACGCCAATTTCTCACATTGCTATTATTGGAGGTACTGGAAAATATGAGAATGCTAAAGGGTATGCTACAATTGAAACTCTGCCTCATGTGGATCAACATACAACTGATGGTGTTGAAACTATTACACACTTCACTGTGTACATTACCCCTTAAAAAAGTGTTTGTTCTAAGAAAAGGGGCTTATTTACTATGTTTGGTTTTTCTGTATTTCCGATTCTTCACACTTCGGTTGATGTACTTTTCATGTATTTGTATGCTTAACTCTAATTAATGTTATGATATATATTAAAGCTTTTAATTTACTTGGTCCAAATGAAGGGGAGTCTTGGCGTAACTGGTAAAGTTGCTGGCATGTGACCAGGAGGTCACGAGTTCGAGTAGTGGAAACAACCCCTCTTGCAGAAATGTAGGGTAAGCTTAACTACAAGTTTAAAATAAAAGAAAATGTTCAGTAGTAATGAATAGCGAAAGGTAATGACTAATTTTTAGTTAAGAAATTGTTATGATTGCAAATTTTATAAGGATTTTACGAAAGTGTGATAATAGATTTAAAAGTATTTGTTACTTGGGTTTTGCATAATATACGTACAATATAAGCATAATAACAAATAAAATTAAGAACAATAGTCCTGCTTCTCGCGCCATTTTTTTTTGAGTCAAAAGGATGTACTTATATTATAGATAAGTTAAACAGACACATGAGAACTTAGTAGATGCATAAGTGGCATCATAGATACTGAGCTAGGGTTTACAACAAAGCTTCCTGTATGGGAAGCATTAGCAGACTGAACATTAAAAGTAGATACAACACTAAGTAGGACTAGGGTTCACACTACTATTACACGAACTATTAGTACTAGAAATTGATGGAACGAGCCTCCTTTGTAATATACCACTACAGTCGTTCTGATATGGAGACTCTGCAAAAGATAGTGGCGTCGCAAAAAGTATGCACTTCTCCTGTGCATGGGTGGATCCATATTTAGCTAAAGTATCTGCAACATAATTCTGTTCTCTGTAGATGGATATTATAGGAGGGCTATCCAGCTGTAGAAGGAGTAACCTGCAATCATTAATAATGTCAGTGTATTGCATAGTAGTTGAGTTAAACATACCTAATATTGCATGTGCATCTGTTTCGACGGTGATAGGTTTGAGATGCTCTTGCACGGCCAGTTTTAATCCCATGAGGAGTGCAAGAAGTTCTGTATGAATACTTGTACCTGGGTTTGATTTGCCTGAAAAACCCAAAATCCAATGGCCTTGATGGTTTCGAAAAATGCCTCCAATATCATACCTTTGTTGTGTAGATGAGCAAGAGCCATCAATGTTTAGTTTATAATTATAAGCTATTGGAGGATGCCATTTTATGTATAGAGGAGTTACACTTTTATGTGTTAATTTTGGGGTTGTGAGAAAGTGATATTCTGCTGCCATATTTAGTATCAAGGGAATATTTAAAGGAATTCGTTTATGGTCGAAAGTATTCTTATTCCTTATAATCCAAAGGTGCCATAGTGCAAATGGTATAAAAGTTGTGGATGGAATTTGATGGGGAGTACATGGTAATGGTGTATGTATAAATTGGTACAACCAATGGATGTTAGAGGTAAGGGATGTAGTGGAATTAGGACTGGGGAAAGAGTGATGAAGGTCAGCCCATAGTTGAGTTGCGTGAGAGCATTCGAAAAAGAGATGAATTATATTTTCAGGGGCCATATCACATTGTTGGCATGTAGGTGAATTTAGGATTCCTATATTTGTAAGATACGTAGCTGTTGGTAGTCTGTTATGGCAAAGTAACCAGAGGAAGAAAGATATTTTTGGAGGAATGAGAAGTTTTCAAATCCACTTGTAGGAATATTATAAGGTTGTATTATTGATGAGAGAGCTGTAAACAGATTTAACCGAGAATTGACCATTTTGTGTATGAGCCCAGTATATTTGATCATGTGTTATGGATGAGAAAGGCAAGTATATATTTATGATAGTTGATTGTAATTGATTTGGTATAATGGATGGTAATTTTTCAAAATGCCACCTGTGATGGTAATAGTAGTTATAGACAAGTTTTTTTTCCTCATGACGTGGGAGAGGTCCCGTTATGCAGTTACGAATTATTAAATTGGGCTTGATCCAAGGATCAGTCCAGAATTTAACATGTTGTCCGTTTGTAATATTCCATTTATAGCCTAAACGACAGTGAGACCATCCTTGCATGATATTACGCCAAGTAGAGGA